CTCGACTTATAGTCCATAAACTTAACCTTATGAGGGGACAAGCAACTTTGATGGCATACCAGCCAACTCTTGTCTCTCGACAGATTGGCTTAGTCCAAACATTGCCCAAGTGTCTATATGACAAGAAAGCTCATGTGATTTTCCCCCATACTGTCTCCAATATCATAGAGAGTTCGACACATCTTGCTCGACATGCCCACAATTCTCTTCTCACCCCTGTTTACTTCGAGCCTTCTCACCTTTGCACCACAAGAATTTTATAACTGGTGGTCGAGGCACTATACTTCAGAGTTCCTTGATGTTTCTAGCTTTGTTCGCATGATTGACCAAGCTTTTGTTGATGTGTAGGAGAAAGTCAAGAAAGGTATATCCACTCATATCAAAGAGATTCAAGCCTTCCAAAAGTACTTTGAAACTGCTTATCGACCAAATGATGTTAGTCGAACCATCCGCGAAGCTGCTGTCACGCTGAAAGAAATTTTTTCAAAGAAAATGGAGAATTTAAAAATCCCTTCATATGTTCCTCCTGAGAAACGTTATGAAGTGGCTTTCGCCCTATTTCCCCCAAAGACTCCTCGACTGCCAACTGCTGACTTTGGAGTGGCTCTTGCCCCTCCATTTCCAGATTGGTTTATTTGTGAGGATTCTATAAAAATCCCTCGTCAGTAGTCGAAACCTAAGGCCCAGTGGGTGGTTCCGACTAAACATACGCTCGATAGTTTCAAAGGGCACCTTCATGTCGGTATCAAAGATGTTCACATCGAATCTGAAATCCTTGAAGGTTGTCATCCTTCGATTTTAGATTCCTTTATCTGAACTCTATTATTACTAACTTACGGTAATGTTGTTTGTTTTGCAGCTGCTCCCAAGAAGAATGCACCTCAACCACAGGTTGAAATAAATGTTGAAGGCCACAAGGTACTTTGCGTGCCTCTTTCTTTTATTAATCTGTTCTCAATTGCTTTTAATACTTCTTGGTAACTTAAGCATCTCGCAAACCACCTCTGACACCTCCAAAGAGGCTGAAAAGAGCCTCTGCTCAAATTATCACCGACTCAGAGGATGATGACGAATCTCCTTCTGAGGATTTAAAACTGAAGAAGAGGAAGAGAACCAGCCAAGGGACAGATGTTACTGGTAACCTATCTGACCCCTCGACGACTAAGGTCTCTAAAATGACTACACCCACTAGCAGTGGTGTAAAAACCTCCACTAAGGGCGCCTCAACACCAACCACAGTCCTTATTGAGAGTGACAATTCTAGTCCTCCCGATGAGGGTGCCAAGGTAATTCACGCCTCAGTTTTCCTTGAAGTCCCACTTTACTTGCACCTTGTTTCCTTTTACCATGACTTATTTTTTTCTTTTGATTCCGGTTGATGTAGGTGGCTCGAAGCCAATGTTGGACAAACATCCTTCTCCAGCCACCATCCTAAATAGCCAAGGTGAGCCTACTTACCATCCCACATATGATTTGGGCTCTAGAATGATTTCACTTGGTGAAATTAATAAACCTGGCCTTGAAACAACTCTTCCTTCGCCTGCAAAAACTGCTACCCAGCAGTCTCAACTTGATGGTTCTGATCATGAAGAAGATGATGCGCAACAGAATCTTGAGACACACGATACAAGAGACGTCCCTATGGAGGAAAATACATCTTTAGCTGATGCAGGCAATTCCCCATTGGGCAATACTCTTGGCGTCGAAAATGCTGATCCAGCAGGGAACGAGGATATGGAGGAAGATGAAACCATGCATCAATTTGAATTGGACGACCATAGTGATGAAAACACTGGTGATGAAATGGATAAAGACAAAGGAGATGATGATCAGAGTGAGGAGGAGGATACTGGGAAGGGTCCTCACAATGAGCCAACCCCATTCGAGGTTGTTGCTATTCCGGCCACTCGCGCTGCTCCTAAAGGCAAAGCAATACCCACTATGTATGGAGCATGCCTTACTGAAGCAGAACTCAACGCCTTAAAAGTCAGCAACCCTCGATAATACATCAAGATCCTTCTTGGGAGTCGAGGAAGTTCTTCTGGAAAGACTCTGAGTGCTTCAACCTCTGAAGATCAAGCTTCGAGCAAGCCTGAAGAGAACATCCTCTAGAAGGTCAAAGAAAAAATCTTCAAGGGTGATCTTTTCACTATTTTGCAAATGGACCATGTTATCCACCTCTCTCTGAAGAATCTCCTTCAACAAGTGGACATTCACGCTATTTCCCCTGAGTCTGCTACCATTATCCTAGAACTTGGCACCATGATTGATCAAGTCTATGGGGGATCTCAAGCGCCTGCCTCAGGTTGAAAAAGCCATTTTGACCAAAACTGGTAGTGAGGCTGTCGCTTGGGCTTCTGCTGCTGAGTCTGAGAACAGGGTAGCAAAATTGGAGGAAGAAAAAGGAAAGAACAAGAGATTTCTTCTAATGAAAAGAACATTACTTCCTGGGAGCAAAATATTAAGAAGCTTCGAAGCAAGATCTCGAAGGCCAAGAAGCGGAATGATGAGCTATCTGCCTTCGATGATTCCGGCCTCTCGAAAGATCTTGATCATGCCATCACTTTCGTTGAGGAAGCTCGACAACTGGAAACAGAAGTTGCCCGTCTGAAGTTCGACAAAACCTTGTGTAAAAGGCGCCTCGAACTCCAGAAGTCGAGATATTTAAAAATGAAATAAAATCTCCCATTTTAGCTTGTTAATTATTTTGTAATATTTACTTTTGGCCATCATATGCCATAATCTTTCAGACTTGATTATGTAATGATTTAAGCCATTTTGGAATTTTATGGATACCATTTTTGGCTCTGCCTTATGTATTGAATTATTCTCTAGAGATTTTAATTTCTTGAAGCGTTGGTTTATATTTTTTTCAAATACTTGCCATTTACTTTCAAGATTCTCTTATCTTCGTTTAATTCTTCGACTTCATAAGCTCCATTGAAGAACACTTGCGTAATTTGGAATGGGCCTTCCCATTTTGGGGACCATTTGCCCAAGGCTCTGACCTTTTGATCCACAGGCAAAATTACCCTCCAAACTAAGTCTCCAGGCGAAAAGGTCTTAACCTTAACCTTTTTATTGTACGATTTTTCTACTCTCTTCTTTTGCCTCCTCAAAAGTTATAGAGCTTTAAGTATTTCCTCATCTAAATCCACCAACTCGTCTAACATCATATTCCAATAAGTCTCGCGAGGAATTTCATGATGTCTTTAAATCCTAATTGACTGTAGGTAGATCTCAACAGGTAATACTGCGTCGTGGCCAAAAGTCAGTCGAAAAGGAGTGCTATTGATGGCTTCTTTGGGAGAGGTTCGACATGCCCAAAGGATCTGGTCTAACATCTTATGACAATTTTTAGGCTTCTTTCCCACATGCTTTTTTATCAACCCAATCACCACTTTATTTGTTGCTTCGACTTGACCATTAGCCTGAGCATAATAAGGTGTCGAGGTTAGGAGTTTGTATCCCATCTCCTTAGAAAACTCCTGCATCTTTCGACCAGCAAACACTGACCCTTGATCTGTCGTAATTGTTTCTGGTATTCCAAACCTATAAATGATGTACTTTTAAATGAACTCGATGACATCCTCTTGATCTACCTTTGGTAGAGGTGTCGCTTCGATCCACTTCGTAAAGTTGTCAATTCCTACCAGGATGTATTTCTGATTTTTGGAGGATGCTGGTCGAATCTCTCCAATCAAGTCCAAAGCCCAGCCTCTAAAAGGCCATGGTTTGACTATAGAGTGTAACTCGCTTGCCTGGACATGCTGTATGCCAGCACGGACCTGACATTCCTGGCAACCCTTGACGAATTCAATGCAATTTTTTAACATGGTAGGCCAATACATGCCTTGACGAAACAATAGCCATTTCTTAAAATCATAGCAATAAAATAAACCCTTGAAAAATAATTTTAATATTAAAGTATATATTCCATAATTTCTCAAGGTTGAATTATTTTCAATTGATTTAGAAATATAATTGAGAATGCAAAGCTCTTTGGCGAATTTATATATTTCTTCTATATACTTTTATTATAATATAAGAAAAATAAATAACAAAATTCACAATTTTTCATATATAACTAAAATTTGATGTTATACACATAAATTTGTAAAGCTATTGAATGCTTGGTTCGATAATAATTGAAAATAAATTTAATTTTTATTTAAAATTAAAAATGAATACATATCTTTAACAACATATAATTAAATATCTAAAAGAGATAAAATAAAAAATAGAAAATAGAATCAAAATAAAAAATAAACCGTTAGTGATATCTCTTGAAATTATTTAAAATTTTAAAATAAAATCTTATATGCCACAATCAACTTACAAATTTATATTTTTTATTTGTGATTATTTCATATTTTTCTCTTAATTATAATTCATAATAAATTATTATAATACAAATTTGTTGTCCATATTTACTAAATAAAAATTCTTAACCTAATTATAACTTAATACAAAATAATAAAAAAATCAATTAGATGCACGGATCTTAATCTAATTGTTTATAATCCCTCGCATCCATTTAACTTAACTAACACGTACACAAGATGATATATTTCATCTATTTCAATATCTTTTTATTTATAATATTGATATAATTTAAAATACTATATTTTTAAAGCAATAAGAAAATACTAGTTCTTTTTCTTAACGAGTACAAAAGTATTTATTTTTTGTTTCAATAACTTCCATAATATATACTATGTTTCAATAACTTCCATAACATATACTATATATAGTAAAAACAATTGAATAATATTATTGCATAAGTCAAAAATTACAATTACTTGATATAGAACTTAGTTACTTAATATAGAATTTAGTAATACTTTTCCTTAAATGAATGACATTTTTTTCTTCAATTTCCCCTTATTCAGCATTGATTTCAAATTCCAATGCTTGTTCTAACACCTTTATAAGGTAATGATCTCTACTACGTTTATCTCACAATCCCATTTCATTACATACAAAGAAAGCTATCAAACATGGAAACACTTATGAAAGCCCTCGTTGTAACTCTTTTTGTGATTCTGAGTGTGTGTGATGTGTCTTTGGCAAGAGCAAAGAAGAGTGAGAATCAGAAGAATACTTACATTGTTCATGTTGCCAAATCCAGAATGCCAACAAGCTTCGACCACCATTCAATCTGGTACAAATCAATTCTGAAGTCAGTATCCGAGTCAGCTGAAGTGCTCTACATCTATGATAAAGCAATCAATGGATTCTCAACAAGTTTGACAGTTGAAGAATATCAGTTACTAAAGAACCAACCAGAGATTCTAAAGGTGACACCAGATAAAAAGTACAAACTCCACACAACTCGAACACCAAAGTTTCTCGGGCTCGATAAAATTGCTAGTTTGTTCCCTGTGACAGACAAAAGTAATGATGTAATTGTGGGAGTCGTTGACACAGGTGTATGGCCCGAAAGCAAGAGCTTCGACGATACTGGATATGGGCCAGTTCCGCGCAATTGGAAAGGAAAATGTGAAACAGGTAAAAATTTTACAACATCTAATTGTAATAAGAAACTGATTGGTGCCAGATTCTTTTTAAAGGGCTTCGAGGCATCCGTGGGTCCAATTAATGAAACCATCCTGTCTAGATCGCCTCGAGATGATTATGGCCATGGAACCCACACTGCAAGCACAGCTGTAGGATCTCCGGTGGAAAACGCAAGTCTTTTTGGCTTAGCCAACGGGACTGCACGTGGGATGGCCATTGGCGCTAGAGTTGCTATGTACAAGGCTTGTTGGTTAGCAATATGTACTTTTTCTGATACATTGGCTGCAATAGATCAAGCCATTGCCGACAACGTCAATATTCTTTCATTGTCGTTGGGAGATTTAGCACGTAACTACTTTGAGGATAATATGGCAATTGGAGCATTTGCAGCTATGGAGCATGGCATTCTAGTCTCATGCTCTGCGGGGAACTCTGGTCCTCGTTCTTTGAGTCTCGCCAATATAGCGCCCTGGATTACAACCGTGGGAGCTGGAACTCTCGATCGAGATTTCCCTACATATGTCATTCTTGGAAATGGAAAAAATTATTCAGGCGTGTCCTTTTATAATGGCAATTCTTTGCCCAATACTCTTGTGCCGTTCATATATGCAGGAAATGCAAGCAGCAGCGATGAAGGAAAAGGCAATGGAACATGTGTTTCAGGTAGTTTGGATCCAAAAAAAGTAACGGGAAAGATTGTGTTGTGTGATAGTGGAGAGGTTGGTAGGGTGGAGAAAGGAAATATAGTGAAATCTGCTGGTGGTTTGGGCATGGTGTTAGCCAACACCGAGATAGACGGAGAAATACCTATACCTGATGCCTATATTTTTCCAGCAACTGCCGTTGGCTTCACAGATGGCGAAGCCATCAAGAAATATTTGTTTTCTGATCCAAAACCGTCTGCTACAATTGTGTTTGAAGGAACAAAGCTTGACGTTGAGCCGTCTCCTGTTGTTGCAGATTTCAGCTCACGAGGACCAAATTCTATAACCCCGCAAATATTGAAGCCCGATTTAATTGCACCGGGTTTCAACATCTTAGCAGCATATCCAAATAATTTGAGTCCTACAGGTTTTACTTCAGATCATAGGCGCGTAGATTTCCAGATTATGTCAGGCACATCAATGTCATGCCCACATGTAAGTGGACTAGCAGCGTTGATCAAATCTATTCATCCAGACTGGAGCCCAGCTGCCATTCGATCTGCATTGATGACAACTGCTTATAATACTTATAAAAACAAGCAGACATTATTGGACAATGCAACAAAAAAGCCAGCAACTCCGTTTGATTTTGGTGCTGGACATGTCAATCCCATTTCCGCGCTAAATCCTGGGCTTGTCTATGATTTGGGTGTGGATGACTATTTGAGTTTTCTCTGTGCATTGAACTATTCACCAGTTAATATCCAAATTGTGGCGAGGAGAATGTACACATGCGATCCAAAGACACAATACAGTGTCACAAACCTTAATTACCCTTCATTCGCTGTGGTCTTTGAGGGTGAGCATGATGAGATTAAACACAGGCGGACTCTTACCAATGTGGGTGAGGCAGGAACATACAAGGTATCAGTTAAGTCAGGTGTTCCATCGGTCAAGATCTCGGTTGAACCAGAAGTGTTAAGTTTTAAGAAAAATGAGAAAAAATCGTACATAGTTACATTTACTACATCACCTTCCAAACAAAATATTACTCAAAGTTTTGGAAATTTGGAATGGTCTGATGGAAGAACTGTTGTTAGAAGTACTATAGCTTTTAGTTGGAAACTAAAGTAAAAGCTTGATGTCTTATTGCTATGATTATATAAATAAAATAATAAGACATTATGTTTGTACATATTTGAAGTTTATTCATATTTATTTTATGGTCCACGTATTCTTATTGATGCAAATTTTTAATCTTTTACAACCAATCAAATTATAATGTTTATAAGTTTAGCGGTGATTGGTGTCCTATTTAATAGGGAGGACTACAATTCAATTAGTGCAACAAAATTATTTTACAGTATTAATTTTCACTTAAAATTATCAATTAAAAAATATCTTAAATTTCTCATCTTAAAAGCGTAATCTCAAATTCTACCAAATTCTTCAACTATATCAAATTTCTTACTTTTGATTTTACTTTTCATTTAGAATATAAATTAAATCTCTAATATTTAAATAAAAAATAAAACATCTAAGAATTTTTGTGAAATACAACTGATGGTATTGGTAGCGATGTTTTTCATTAATTTTGAAAAGATATGTTATTCAAAAGTTAAAGGAATCAAATTCACACTTAGATTAAATTGTAATTTTTAGAAGTATGGGTGTTTGCACTAAGGTTATATAACTTTCAGGTAAAATTCTATTTTATCTGATTTTTCTGTGCACACACTAGTGTGAAGTATCTGACTTGATATTTGACTCTCAACTATTGTGTGCTGAAATTGTTGTGTGTTAGTAGTAGTTTCTGACCTTTTACTACTGACTATTAACTATGTATATGTATGATTAACCTATTATGAATGATTGCATGTTAATTATTTTTGGGAGTTTCTTTGTGTGTCAATTGACTGATGTGTAGCAACCATTATGCTACTGATATATATATGTTTATGTTGCTGATGTTTGTTCATTTGTCGACGCTAATGTTTGATATGAGTATGTGATATCCTTGATACTTAACTGTGTTTCTGCTTGAAGAGTTGTTTTGCCAAAAAATTTCAAAGGGGAAAGATTGTTGGTCTTTTTGGGATTGATTGCATTATGCAAAACAACACAGAGCTTGTTCAGCCTGTAATTGGTGCAGAAGGGACACGTGTGGAAAACAATGTTCTAACATGTGTGTTGCAACATCTGATCTCTGGCAATTGACGTATTACAATTTGGGTTCATAATCATTCTATCCAAGATTCACTATACAAAGAAGATTAATTCATGGAGAAAGTTAATTTAGATGCACAAGTGCAACATGTGGAACACAGTGTTCCAGCGTGTGTGCGGTGCAACATCAGGCCCTGATCAACAAGCTATGATGGATGTTGTATGGTGCAAAATTTATGAGTGAATCTTAATCAGATTTGTTGCAGATGATTCGGCAAAGTTTATGTGATTTGTTTGACAGTTGTTGAATATCAAATCAGGTTTAAATAAATCAAATTTAAATTTGAATTTGAAATATAATAAATAATATCTTTTATTGGAGAGATTTATGGAGAAAATAACATCAAACTGATTCAGTTATTATTTTGGATGAATTAAATGCAGATATCCAAGAGCAAAAAGCTCAGAAGACATTGATATATAAGGAGACTCAATTCTCATGTTTTACTTCAGGATTTGTACACAATATTAAGTTCTTTCTGTCTAGGGTTTGTGAGTCCTTTGTTTCTTGTATTCCACAGTAATGTTGTATTAGTGTTGAAGCTATTTGTGTGCAGCACTCTATGTTTCAGTAAATTGGCGTAGTTGTTAATTTGTCTTAGTGGAGTTGTAAATTCAACAATCAAGATAGTTGTTATTGAAGTTGATCACTAGGGGTTAATGATTGAAGAAAATGATAAGGGTTCTCATATTTAGAGGGTGTCCTAAATAGAAAATCACTAAGATTAGGAAGAAGCATTAAACATCATGGGATTGATGTTTATAGAAGATTTATTGTATTAATTTGAAGTAGTAAAATTTCTTTCTTGGGTAGAGTGCCCTAGGCGTAGGTGTGGTTTTATCGAACTAGGTTACCAATCTCTTGCATTATTTTATTGTTGTTGTTATGTTGATGTCCAACATATGTCCCCTCAGGAACATAATTTCAAAGATATGTATTACCTTTAGAAGATTAATCTACAGAGGAAGTTATAAATGAATTTGAAGAGGACAATGTTGGCGAAGAATCAGAAAAGTCTGCTGATGAATCAAAGCAAGAAAATAATGATGGGGAGAAGAGCTTTGTCGTGACTGAAGCTATCATCCCTACAAAGCAGAAGACTCCATAGAAACCTAGCAGTTTAATTCTAAAGAAGACACCAACAAAGAAGAAGAGCCCATTTAAAGAAAATACCATAGTGAAAATGAGTCCTAAGGAAGCAAAAGAACCCTTTAAGGCTGTCGAGACAGAAGTTGTCAGTGAGGTGAAAGAAAGGGAAAGCAAAAACCAAAACCCAAGACAAATTTGTAGAGGAAAAAGTTAAGGGAAAAAAGATGAAGTATAAGGAAGACAAAGCCACAAGGAAGAGCAACAAGTTTAGATTCTAGGTGGTATTTCATTCTTACTCTACAGGTTGACAAGTCATGGCATGCCACTACTCACCAAATGACAGTGAGAACCATGTCCTTACTCTTAGCTTGGGGGCGTGGTAGCTTCTGTCATGACATCTACTTACCAAAATCAATCAACCATTATCATTATCAACTTCTAGTTTAGTTTAGCATTCTACTATAATCACTTTAATTTCTTCAATTTCAATTTACGTAATTTCAATTTCTAATTAATGAATGTAGAATTTATGTTTTGTGTTGATATTGTTCTTTTATGTTGAAATAAATAAATAAATAAATGAAACTAGAAGAAAATAACTAACTTCATCCCTATAAATATTAAAAATTCAAAAGATTTAAGAAGAATTATGAATTGACTGGTGACAATATTGGAAACAAGGTCTTGATAACAAATCAATGCACCTACTTGTGATTTTCTAATAACCCTTGTCGTGCCTGAAGTAGTCAAGAAAGTAGTTAGCCTCTTAAGAAGTTCGAATTGTCTTAGAGTATGGAATAAGAGTCATTGTATGATTTAGTCTAATGGAGGAAAATACTATTGCTTAAGATTAATACAAAGGATACATTGCATATATAAATTAACACCTAAAAGTGTGTAAAAAGAACGAAGTAAGCCAAAGAGCACTTCAAATAAGTTCATGTGTCCAAAACTGGAGGAACAAGTTCCTATGTCAGAAACTGGAGGAACAGTGGATGTATTCACCATTAGTAACAGGTTGAACTCATAACAATTGAGATCTCGTCAGGTGAAAAGGTGGAGCATCTAGAAAAAATTAATAATAATAATAATAATAATAATGCATGTGTAAGTCTCAAGTTCAAAATGAACAAAAAGTCAAGAGCAAAATAGTCGATCCCCCCTTTCGAAACTAAAAAAATGAATTCTTAGACTATAGGATAAGATAACCAAACTAAGATTTAGACTGACTATCTTAACTGAAGAGTTCAGACATGACATACAACATCAAAAAACACACATTGACACACTAACAAAGTTGAACATAAGCAAGACTGAGTTATGCCAATTTTTGAAAGCAGTCCTCTGATATGAACTATGAGTTGAATATGAATTGAACTGTTAAATTAGAAGATGAAGGAAACTGTAATTTTTCTGTTGTTATTTGTTGCATCACCTAAGGACAAGTAATGATTCAAGTTTAGGGGTATGATAACTAATATGTTGTGAGTTATTACAAGACTTAATACTTGAATTTATCTTTTTATTTTCATCATTCAGTAGTTTAATTAGTATCATTTAGTTGTTTTATAGTAGTTTGCAAAGAGCATAATAGGTGTTCTCTTTTGTTAACTTCTATGTGTTTGTTGCTTATGTAGAGTTAGCGTTTGACAAGACATGCGACAGTCTAGATAAGTAAAGGTTACCCAAATGAAAGTAGAAAGCTGGAGGGAACTGAGACAAAAGCAAAACATCATTCACATTCCTAGGGAAAACTTGGCAACAATCTACAGAATGAAGAATAGTTGATTATATCATGCAAATGGATAAGAGTGAGGCCTTATAAGACAAAGTTCAATACTATAGTAAATCAACTACAACGCCACGTTGTTGCAAAGGACAACACCGCCTGATTCCCTATCCCACCAGGCTGCCACATTACATATTGGCCCCTATAACACCCCAACTTTAAATTATTAATCTTATTTAATTATTTTAGTGTTTTTATGTGTGTTGCTTGAATCATTTAAATTTAATCTAAATTATTTGAGTTATTTTGGTGTTTTGTGGGATTTGGGGGTATTTTAGTAATTTGATAATTATTGAGAATGTGGAGTAATTTAAGGGCGGAGAAATAAAATTGAATTATTAGAATATTTAGAGATATTTTGAATAATTAACTGAATAGAATAAAAATGATTATTTTATAATTATTAAGTAAATTAGATTTTTATTAAACAATTATTTAGTGCAATTTTTGTTTAATAGACTAAAGGTGTTACATTATTTAAAAATAGAAATTTATAACATAAAATGATTATTGGGATAGTTTTATTAATTACTGGAATTATTAGTAATATTATCATTGGGAAGCATTTAGAGTTAATTTCTTAAAGGTGGTGTGAGTGAGAGGGTGTAGAGACCAATTGCGATTTCAGGGTTATATTTAAACTAAGTGAGGGAATTTGAGGGTACGAAGAAAAAAAAATCAAAATTTGGAAAAGTGGTCGATCTTGGAATTGGGGTTTTGAAACAGAGCTTTGGGAGAGACCGCGAAGAACGTGAACAAAAATTGTTAAAGCTTCGAATTTCGAGGTAAATGAGGGAAATTATTTTACTTATGGATGACCTTAAGCAGTCAGGATAGTGAGGGGTCCTTGCTCTTCTATCTCTATATTTTGTATTATAAGGCCTTTGTCCCGGTGATCAAGGGGGTTTGCCCAAAACCCTTAAATCCACTGATTGATGTTTTAATATATATTTTTTTGTTAAAATGGAATTACGTATGAATATGTGATTGTTGTGGTGCCCTTTTTGATATTTTCTGATAATTTGTGAG